CCCTGCTGCCCCTCTCGGGGGGCTGCTCTCCCCCCGCCCCAACAGACTCCCTTACCTTAGTGCTCCCTCCTCGTTTTTCACGCCCTACGTGTGCAAGAAGCACAGCGGTTCTGCTGCTGGGTTTGAGGGGCACAGCTGAAGAGACCTGCTTGGTCCACCAAAACCCTCCTGCTGGACCCTCCTCGTGTTGGGGCTGGCAGAGGGGGCGCAGGGAGGCTCAGCCCCTAAGCAGGGCCTTGCTGTCCCACTGCGACACCTCTACCCGTTCCATCTCTCCACCTCCACAGTGCCCTCCCCGAGAAACCAGCGCCTTTCCAGTACCCACCAGGCTGGCCTCCGGTGCAGGACCTGCCCCCGTCCCTGCAGGCCCCCCCTCCCGGAGGGTGGCCGGTGCCCCCCAACCTGCAGTGGGGCTGAGGCGCAGGAACCCCCACAGAGATTGTGCTACAGATGGACTTTTTCCTTACCCACTCCACGAACGGGAGAGGATTATTTTTGTGCGCTCTCACATCAATAAAAGCCTTCCCGCCCCGCGGCAGCCTGCTTCTGTCTTGTTATTTCTCTCCGGTGGGTTGAGCCAGTCGGGCCGTTGGCTCCCTGCTGCTGGAATGGGCATCTGGGCTCAGCAGAGCTCCGGCACCGGGCACAGGGCTGTCTTCCATCGTCTGGAGGGGGCAGCCTCCCTTTCCCGGGACCGCCGGTGTCTGTGCTGTGCCCTGTGCTGCCTGCTCGTAGTCTGGATCCACAGCTGGGCTCGGAGCCGCTGATCCGGGCTGGGGAAGGAAGCTGTGACTGAGCTTTTAATATTCCTGTTTACCATTTCCTCCAGTGTTGGAGTTCTGTTTGCTTCTGTTCAATCCGGTGCGTAAAACTGCTCCGGTTCAGGTGCCGGAGCTCCTAATGAAGAGCTCGGGGAGCTCCCGTCAGCCCTCTGCTCCTGCTCCTGCTCCTGCTCTGCTGGAGGTGAGAAGCAAGGAGGAAAAACATCCTAAAGTTTCTCCTTCTCCAGGAAACTGAGTAAATGGTGAGTGCCAGAGGGGAAAAACCCCTCGACGGGTCGCTGCCTGCGGTGGGAGCTGGCTGCCCAGGCGGGTGTGCTGGGGACCGGAGCTGGGAAGGGGCGAGGATGGACTCCACGGCTCTCCCGCTCCCTGCGGGGCTGCGCTGGGAGCCGAGTGCCCGGCACGGTGGCTGGGCAGGCTGGTGTGTCTGGAAGGGCTGCCCTGGAGAAGACTGTAGAGGTGCTTTTAGGTCGCAGCTTTGGTGTGGCCAAGCCCAGCCCAGCCGCGTGGCTGCGGCGGCACAAGTTTTACGGAGCCATCTCTCCTCGCCAGGAAAGGGAGAGACGAACGAGGCCTTTGGCTCAGCTTTCCCGGGAAAGCAGGTGGGTTCGCGGCTTCACGGCAGAGCTGCCGGGCACGCGGGGGATCCCGGGCAGCAGCGGCCTGGGAGAGCCGCGCTCCC